GAGAGGTGAAGATGGACCTGCTGCGCCATCTGCCTTCAAGTCCCTGGTCACAGTTCTGAGACCAAGCTCTGTGGGAAAAGGGTGCGGCCTCCCTCCTCTATAAAGTACCGAATGCAGCCTGTGGCACATACCAGGCACTCCATAAAGGAGTTTTTCTGGGGGAGGGGTTGCATACTGACCCTCTTTAAAGTCCCAGCCAAGCTGGCACTGACACTCCAAAGGGAAGCCCCTCACCTCCCTGACCCCGGGTCCAGACTGGTTGAGGATGGCCACCAGGACAAACAAGAACCCTGCAGCCACCTGCAGGGCCCTCGGAAACATCCCGAGAAGTCTGTCCCCACAGAGGCCGGTCTTGGCATCAGAGAGGGAGCGAGCGAGTGAACATGTGGATGAAGCAGCAGTGGCAACCCGCCCAGAGCATCGCCCACCGCTGGACAACCCTCACGGGCACAGCTGGCTCTGCCTCTGCTGCCCCAAGAACAATGACTGTGGACCGAGAGCCAGGCACCCCAGGCCGCGGAGCATGTGCCAGTCGCTGACACTGTCCCCCGGCCCCACCTGCCTACCTGGGCTGCCCCCGCCCCCCTTTCTCTGGCCTCCCTGCCAAGGTTTAACGCCGGGAGTAGCCGCACACTGCCTCTCGCACTTCCTAAGCCACTGGATGGAAACGCACTGTTTTGAACCGAGGAGGTTCAAGATCAAAACAGCTGCTGCCCCGCAGAGCTTAAATGTCAGGAAAGCGCAAGCACGCGGAACCTTTCCCGGCTCTTTGTCACTCTGCCCTTTCAGATGGTACCCCTCCTAAGCTCCATTCTCTGAATCTGCTCTGCCGGAGGCTTGCTGGCTGTGAAAAGCTTCCTCGCCCTGGGACGAAGTACAAAGGCCTCTGGGACACCACAGTAAATGACCGGAGCCTGTCGGCAGCCATGGGCCACAGCGAGCTGCCCCCCGCCCGCCCCACGCCCGGGGATGGGGCTAATGAGGAGCGGGGAAAGGGCCTGCTGACCGAGCCCCGCAGCAGACAAAGGCAGGCCGCACCTAGCTGCACGGGGTGGGGCTGGTGACAGGACTGGTGAGAGGGGAGCTGGACAGGTGCTTTCAGCTCCGACGTGGTTTTCCAGAACTGACAAGGCGAGCGCGAGCTGGGTTTGGCCGTGTGAGGCGGTCCTCCCTCCCACCCCTGCTTTGTCACACAGAGGGGAAGGACCTGGGAGGCTTCCTGCCTCCCCAGCAGGCCTCTCTCTGCAGCGGCCACCGCTGCTACTTGTGGACAGGAAAACACATGTGACACACAGTAACTGCAACCACATAATGATGCCAAAGAAAGGAAGTCCTGGGCTTGGACGCAGAGCAATGCAGGCAGTAGGTTCCTGCACCCATCCTGGGGGTCCGAGGGGCAGCCCAGCAGGCCCATCTCGGGGATGGGTGCAGTTGCAGCATCTACTGCCATGGTCGGGACACTTGGCAACTGTTTTCTGTCTGAGAAACTCCATCTGTTTGTGACCAAGGAGCCTCCTGGGCCATGTCACTGCGCTCTCCAGGGGCCTTGCTCCTGCTGCCTGCCTGTAGCGGACCCGCCTCCCTCCCCCAACCTGCCTGGTCTACCTGGATGGGCGGACCCGGCAGAGGACGGTCAGGAGGCCACAGGCTCTCCAACAGTGTCCTCTGGAAATGCCACAGGCGACATCAATCGGGACTCTGAAGTGTAAGCAGGTGGACAAGGGGAACACAGGGTTCTGAGGAAAAGCTGATATGGAAGCGCGGCGTTTAGGAACGTTGCCACCTAATCTTCTCCTTGGCATTTTGAGTTTGAAGTGCCTACATGTCACCCCATGAACTGCACCAGGCCTTCAGAATCGGCAGTGACAGAGTGGTCCCCACTTTGCTTTTAACACGGGCGGCTGTGGAGCAGGGAGGCCTGCCCTCAGGCCCAGCCCGGCCGGGGCAACGCTGACGTTAGCACAGCCCAGTCGCCCATCCCTCCCGACCCCACGGCACAGTTGTCATCCTCTCCGCAAGCACAGCCACACCAAAGAGACTTTAAAAAGCAAAACCCCAAACCTTCTCCATGTGACGATACTTAGGTGAAGGCTCTGTTGATAAAGGATTAAGCTTAATTCTGCGCTACATTATTTTCCAATTCATTCCTTAATTTGACAGCATGTAGAGGACGTTTTAGCGGGATGAGGGAGGGCTCCCTAACCCACTAATTCCTCCCTGCCTCTGAGGAAGGAAAAGGACTTCCCGTTACCCACCTTCAGGGTGAATCAGACAGTGTCGCCTGTCCCTGGGTTTTGCTTCCTGAATCTAGTACCAGCCATTATCAGAGGTCAAGTCCTTCAGGTGAAACAGGTGACAGCAGAGACGATAAAAGAACCTCAGAAAGGGTTCTGTGCAAATACAGACAGAACCCCATCCCTACACGTGCACCTGTGTTCACTGCTGGACGCGGCACACAGATGACAAGGGAGCCCTGGCCGGTGCTCGGGAACCTCCCCAGCCAGCCTAGTATCAGGTTTTAAACACCGCTTCAGTGTGGGCTTGCGGGCTAGACAGATACAGTGTCATTTTCAGGGGAGGTGGAATAAAAATATAGCCCTGTCTCTCCAAGTCTCTGCTCCACACATTTTACAGCTTCCTGAAGGGCTCTCTGCTTGCATCAAACCCACTGCTACACACACCAGTAAAAGCCGCACACGCACCGGGAGCGCGGACAGCCCCTCCCTCCCAAGGGGTATGCGGGTGCAGCCGCGGTCACCGCCAGCTTCCACGCGCTGCTCCCTGCGACACCGCGGAGGACAGACACCCCGGGAACCAGCTGGAAAAGAACCACCCAGCTGTCCCCCGGGTCCTCACGATGAGAGCGAGGCCGATGCAGGTAATGACCAGTGTTCTTTCCCCTCAGGATGTTCACCAGCCGCTGGGAAACGGACAAAGGCGGTCTACACGGACCACGTTAGCGCTTAGGGTCGGGACTTGATGCCCGCAAAGGCCGCAGGGACGGTCCCCTAGGCGAGGATGCCAAGGTTAAACTGCAGATGCCTGCACCGGGGCGCACACACGACCACACCCCTTCCCCTCGGGCTCCAGACCGGGCGGGGGCCACCTGGGCGCAGCTGGGTAGAGCAGTGTTAGAGGAGTCAAGACTATGGTTTCCTCTTTTAAACAAACTTAAACTTGACAGAAAAGTTGCGAAGACGGCCCATAGTTCCTACACCTTCCTCCCCCGTTTCCCCCGTTGCTAACATCTTTCCATTCGTCACAACTAGAAAACCAGTACTGGTTAGTGTGACTAAACTCCAGAGTCTGTCCGGAGGCCCAGTCTTTGCATTAACGTGTCTGGTCAGGACCCTGTCAGGCCGCAGGCTGCTCTGCGCGGTGAGGGGTCACGGCACGCCAGTGCGCGCAGGCCCCTCGCCGCGTGGTGTTGCGCCCGGATCTGCCTGCCGCAGGCTCCCCGTTCACTGTCGGCTGGTCGGGAACGTGAACCTGATGTCTGCTAGACGCCGCCACGGGCCGGTCGACCACGCTCCTTTGACACAAAAGCCTGTGGGTACGGGGTTTATTTTGGGGCGATGGGCATGTTTTGGAACTAGACAGAGGTGGTGGTTCCACAACTCTGAGTAGGAACCGAAAGCCGTGGGTTGCTGCTGACTCTGAAATGGTTAGTGCTCGTGACTTTCACCTCGATGGAAAGAGAGGCCGTGCTCTCCGAGCGAAAGGCCCACCTTGGACACACTGTCACACGGTGGGAATGACATGGGCCAACGTTCAAAGTCAAGTCCTTCCTCCACATCCATCCTTCAGTGGTTTCTCACTGAACTGGGAATAAAATCCGAATTCCGTTCCAGGATCTAGAGGCCTGCCTGCGCCGGCTCTGCCTCTCAGCCCGCTGCGTTCCCTCCAGCCCTCTGCATGCCCCAATCCCACGGGTTCCTTCCGCCCTCAGAACACGGGCCCCAGCACAAGGCTCTGGGCACTGTTCCCATCGCCTGGGAACCTCTTCTGGTTGCATTTCAAATGGCTGCCACCTCCTCAGGCTCCCTGCCTCAGGTTAGTTTGCCCCGGAGGCCTCCCTCCTGTGCCTACCCCGATGTGGAAGGCCTCCCTGCTGCGTTGATCGCAGTCCCAGTGACAACCGGAGTTCTCTCACTGTGCTTCCTTTCTGTGTGTTTCCCCGTGTTCCTAGCAGCTGGCACAGTGCCTGGCACAAGGCGAAGGGGCCCAATAACTGTTGAGCTTGATGAGGCCGTGAATGAAACTGCAGCCAACTCTGTGGCTTGCGCAGCTGGATGAGAGCAGAGGACAGAGGGTGAAGGAAGCAGCGGTGCTCCCTGGGGAGCCGGCAGAGGGCCGGGGAGGTGGCGCGACACTCCCAAGCCCAGTGTGCAGCTGGTTCAGGGACGGGCCCCTCCCACCACCAGGAGCTGGAAAACGGATTTTCTCTAGTCACGTTTAATTCTCCCTAACACTTCACAAACAACATTTCACGAGGAAGTCCAATCTCTGAAAAAGGTGTCACAAGAGTGTAAAGGGGATGGGGGTAGGGTCAGGGCGTGGCCAGTCTGCCTCCTGGGCTGTCCCTAAGGCACCTGCATGGACCACAAGGGCTCTGAGTACAAAAACTGTAGGTTGAGCTTGAAACAAGCCAAAAGCCTTATTTTTTAAAAAAGGTATGATTTCTATGTACGAAAGTCGCCTTCTGTAGGTATATATTCCATATAGTTGTGTAATCACCACCACAATTAAGAAGCTGGATATTCCCATCGCCCAGCCATGGTCCCTCATGTCCCTCCGGGACAATCTCCTGCCCTCACCCAGCGCCTGGTAACACTGATCGGATTTCCCTCCCTCAGGCACTGTTTTCTCCAGAGCCATGTAAATGGAACCATAAAGTGAGCAGCCTTTTGTGTCTGGCTTTTCTCACTTTTTAAAGAGTCTAAGAACCAATGTGTACCCCTCAGAGCATTCGTATTTAAGAAGCGAAAAGCACAACTTACCTTCTGGAACACCTGGTAGTTAGATTTGGACCATATATCCAGCTGGGGGAAGAGATAAAAGAATCATCAGTGTCGATTTTAGAATCTGGAGGTCAAAAATGAGATTCTAGCTACTGCTATTAAGCTCAAAAAAATAAAGCACGATCCACCACCTTGGGGTTGGAAGGGCTTAAATATCCTGCTCGAGCGTCTTCCTCACCAACCTGCTGGTGACTTAAGGAGACTACAGAAGGGACACAGGGAAGTCACCCTGACTGTGTCCAGGGCCCCATGAGCTGAGTCCCCTGCTCACTTTTCTAACCTTGACTCCTACCATGGTTCTCTTGTACCATCCAACAGGCCAAGGTCAGTCCTGTCTCAGGACCTTTGCCCCGGCGGTGCCCTATCTTGGGGCTGCTTTTCCACGACCCCTCCCACGGCCTGCCTGTGCTTCCTTCAGCTCCAATGTCCCCTGATCAGAGGCATTTCCCAGGTGCTCTGCCTGGAATGTCTGTTACTCCCATATCCATTGCTTTCTCTTTGTTCTTTCAAAAACTCTACAGTTCATAATACTTAAAACTGCCCGAGCCCTTCTGTGTTCACGTCGTCCTGGTCTGGCCCTGGCTGGTCACGGGCACCAGTGGGTCTTCGCCGAGGGGAGGAAAACTCCCAGCCGGTGGGCGCCTGTTCCATACCAGGCACCACACCGGGGCCTCCACACACACGCTCACTGAACCCCCAGAACAGCCTGTATGGCTGATCCCAGGAGCAGCCTTGCTTTCCCCGTGATGGACAGCGGTTCAGAGCCGTTCAACTGCCCGAGATAATGTGGAGAGGCCCCTATGGACTGTCTTGCCTGACGGTGCTCACAGGTGGTAGCATCAGAAGCCCAGTGACACTCACACCCTGGTCCCTCCCCTGGAGTGTCTGAAGTAGCAGGTTTGGGGGGGGGCCGGAGAACCTGTCCATTCATTTGTTTGAGTGCTGCTCTCCAGGGTAACAGAGATGGCTGCTCAGGTCAGAGCCTGTGATGACCTAGGGCACCCATGCCTCACACACGGGGCAGGTGGAGGCCTGAGACGAAACGTGGGCAGGTGCAGAGCAAACAGTCCAGTTCTCTGGCCGCACTTGGTCCTGTACAGGGCACTTCATGGCACAGTCTCACCAAACCAGCCTGGTTTTATAGGCTTGCATGAGAAATCAAATCAGTGCCCCCGCACTACTTCAAGAACAAATGAAGTACAGTGAAAACAGAATCAGCCCAGTGCAGCGGAGCCCAGGGAGGGAGCTCAAGGACAGTGCAGATTCAAGAAGGGGCCGTCAGTATGCCCCCTGGCGCTAAAAAGTCAGCTTTAATATATGAGTTCATGAGTCGAGCAAATTGAAACACCTGGTCAATGGGCCTCTTGGAACCTGCCTCTGGGGTTGGCCAGTGGTCACGGTGGAAACGGAGACATGGCTGTCGAAGCCTGGATGCTGTTATTGATTTTGGAGCGCCTGGGACCAAGCAGCACTCGGCTGGGAAGCCTTCGCCAAGACAGGAGGGGAGTGCTGCATTTGGCCGGGCGGTTCTGCTCTGAGGAAAACACCAACACCTGGCTGGCAGAAAACAGTCCGTGGAAATTCAAAGCCGGGCTGTGGCCCTGGCCGGTGGCTCGGTTGGTTGGAGCATCATTCTGTGCACAAAAAGGTTGAGGGTTTTATTCCAGGTCAGGGCACATGCCCGGGTTGTGGGTTCAGTCCCCAGGCACGTATGGAAGGCAACCAATTGATGCTCTCTCACACTGATGTTTCCCTCTCTCCAATCCCCTCTCTCTAAGTCAATAAGCATATCCTTGGGTGAAGATTAAAATAAAAAGCTGGGCTCTGAACAGACCTGTATCCAATTCTCTTGGCTTCTACCTCTTCACAATTAGCTTTACGTAAATTTCACTGAGTAGGAAAACTTTTGGGGCAGTGGAGGTTCAGAGGACTGAGGACCTGACCTCCGACCTCTGCAGGGCTCCTGCTGGACAGGGTAGAGGTTTCGCTCACCCAAGTCCAGGAGGTGTCAGGGAAGAACTCTGATCGACAGAATGTCCGTTCGGACCTTCCTTTCCCTGCCCCACCACCGTCCCGTCCATCCCTGGATTTCCACAAAAGCCCCAGGCACCCCTCTCCTCCTGTTCTGGCCACACGGCTCTCCAGAGGGTGCTGTCGATTTTCAGGCACTGCCCCCGAGTTTAACCAATTGATGGGGTAACAATTTAAAAATATTTAGGCATTAGAATTTTAATTTGACAGGTTAGCAATTTCTAGGGGAAAGTGACATGCTACTGTACCAGATAAGTCTGGAAGGAACCTGAGAAGGAACAAGAAGTGAATTCCCTACATAACCAATTCTGCTGCAGAGCAGCCCCGTTGGGCAGCTGGTCATCTGAGGGGGTGAAATCAGGTTCAGGTTCTATTCTTAGTGCAGTTTAGCCCAGGGCTTAGAAAATGCAGCCTGAAGGCGATCGCGATTGCTGAGTGAATGACGTTTTGTATCTTTAGTTCTAACAAATCACTGCCAAGATGACAGGAGGATGACAAAGACTCCAAATCTAAATTTCAGGAAGAGTACCCTCCACGTCTGAACTTGGACGAGATAAACCCTCCTGCTGTTTTACGCCCACAGCGGTTCCTTCTGAAGCTCTCCTGCTTGTCCCTCCTCCTGTTCCCAGCACACAAGGCACACCGAAGGCTTAAACCCGGGCCAGGAAAGAAAGGGAGGAGTCTGCGTACAGATGGGAAAGGGACCGTTTTTATTTAAAAGACGAAATTATTAAAAAAACACCTTTAGCAATGCAAAATGTTTTAGTAGAGAAATCCTAGAGGGAAACAGGCATCGGTTTAATTAAGCCGATTGACCAGCCTGACTTCTGAAAACTCCTTCTGTACAGAGAGCGTGCTGCTGTCTGAAAGGCGCTTTAAACATATTACCCAGGGCCCCTGAGGAATAGTTCAGACCACCTGGGACAGAAAGACACTGGACAATACACCCGACATTCACCAGGTGCACAGGGGTGAGAGAGGGACCCGGTCACAATGGCTCTGATCTTGGGGAGAAGGCACAGCAGGTGGTCTGTACTTGGTTTTCTGCTAGATTTATGCCAGAGAAAGCCATTTAAGCAGGCCTTCTGGGGTCGGTGCCCCGCCTCTCTGCAGGGCCAGAAAGATTCGGGAAATTCATCTCAGGGAGCCACTCTGACCCAGGTGAACATTCATGAGCCCAGCTTCTGGGCTGCGAGGCGGCAGGGCTACCAACGCCGCTGGCTGTGTGTTCAAACGGCAGTGCTCCGGAGGCTGCGCTCAGCTACAGAGCAGAACAGCTACTCTCAACTACAGTGTCATGAACAGGAAAGTGAAGCGCCCCTCAGCCTCTGGGTAGGCATCGGAAAGACCTTAAAACGGAAAAGCCAACCTGCGGTGACTGGCAGGCATGGTCTCGGGGCGGCTCTGGGGCTGGGGGGAGTATTCCAGGTGGGGCAATTCCGTCCATTCGAAGCTAGATTAACAGACTCCACAGACGACCGACTGCTGGAGCACAGACACAGCTGCTCCCCAGCCAACCATCAGGACGTCAGGGCCTCTCCAGCACAGGAAGAACTAGTGACAACAGTGACAGAAACTTACTTACCGAAAAGAAACATTAGAATGACCCAACATCGGCAGGCCAGGGAGTCCTAACTACCTGATGGCTACCACATGACCCCACCATGCCTGGCGAGGCACGTCCCTCTTACTGATGGCGCTGCCCTCGGCCTGGGCTGCGCCCTCCCAGCCATCGCGCGGGGGTGATGAAACCATTCCAATCCCCAGGTGAAGACGCCGAGGCTCAGCGAGTTAGGCGGCCTGTTCAACACTGAGCTGCTGTGATGGCGAGTTAGCAGCCCGGTCTGTCTCCAGAGGCCCAGCTTTCAGCTGGAATTCGGACACAGGGTGGCTTGGAGCTCCCAGCTGTCACAGACCTGCAGGAAGTGCCTTTGCAAAGTTTAACGTGACGAATCTGCTCCAAGGACGCAGACGTGACAGTCATCACCACTAAAACTCAGCAGCAAGTGAAAATTTTGGCAGCTTATCAATTCTTCATTTCAAAAAACAGTACAATGAACTATAAATTATCTTAAAATTGACACTTCCAAGTAAAACTCATAAGCCTCTCAGGGGCTTCAACTTTTAAAGCTTTTATTTACTAGTAGCTTCATCTTGCAAGGTCAAGGTCAGCAGGGGCAGGTGCCATAAACCAGCAATGGTGATGGGTTTTTTCATGGTTATCCGAGTTTCCAAAACCAGGAGCTTCTCTTTGGTCACCTCTGTGCCTCCGCCCGCCCTGGAGAATGTAAGAGCGGACCGGTCTCACCCAAGAGCGCAGTCACAGGCCTGCTATTCACGAATTTCACTGTCCATCAGGACACACACCTGCCACTAAAAGCTGCTGCAGGCACAGTTCCAGGGCGTCCTCTGCATGGGGATCACACAGTTTCCCTTCCTTGGCTGGGCCCCTCCCCCACGAGTAACAAGAGGCCGTTTTTCTGAAGGTCGTCTGAACAGTTTCAAAGGCTGTAACAAATCAAAATGTTCCCTGCATCTAATATCAAACGGGCTGATGCCAACACTTATTAGGGAAACCAGATTCAAGCTCCCCCGACCCAAACACGCACACGCCCAGCTTTGAAGTGGGAAGTATGCAGGGATCAGGAATTACCCTGGAGACAGCTCTCGCTGTCTTTGAAGGTTCCCTTTGATACCACCATTTCTTTTCCTCTCTTACGCTAGGCTAAAAGCAGCCTTTAAAAAAAAAAAAAATTGATACGGGGTAATTGATGGAGCTATAGCATTAACATAACCTAAATCCCCTAATAAGATAAATTCGAGACACTTGTATTTTTTCAGCTAAGTCTGACGGGTATAAATCAGGACAATGGCCAGGTATTCACCCCAAACCCGACTTTACCATGCTGAGTCATGGCTCTGCGCCTCCTGGATCACAGTGGACACCCGGTCGGTGAGTCTTAGAGCATTTTTCTATTTCATTGGAGGAATTAGTCACAGGCACTCAGTATAAAAAAATGTGCAACACAGGTGAGGGGACAGAAGGACAGGGGCAGTGGTTGGATGTTACTGCAAAGGGACAGCCCTGCTGGGACTGTGATGGGGAAGCCTGCCAGATGTGGACAGTGGGGTGGGGCCGGCCACTGCTGCAGCAGCGGGACATGGGAACCTTTTAGAAGGTGCTGGCTGCTTTGGGTTTGGAGGACACAGGCACAGCTCAGAGCCTGCAACCCAGGAGAGGCCTTCCAGGCTCCACCCCCAGTGCCAGTGGCTGCAATCTGGAGACTGCGGCCAACACCCTGCAACCGCCAGGCACCAGCTCAGCAGATGCAGGTGCTTCCAAGGATCAGTAAGGCTGCAAGCAAGAACCCATTTTCTTTTCTTTTTTTAAATATATATTTATTGATTTCAGAGAGAGGAAAGGAGAGGGGGAGAGAGAGAGATAGAAACATCAATGATGATAGAGTAATTGATCGGCCATCTCCTGCATGCCCCTGACTGGGGATCGAGCCGGCAACCTGGGCATGTGCCCTGACCAGGAATCGAACCCCAATCGCCTGGACCCTAGGTTGATGCTCAACCGCTGAGCCATGCCTGGCCGGGCAAGGACCCATCTAAGACCACACTTGAGTGCCAATGGCTCCTTCCAAATGTTACATTTTATTTGGGACGAGCTAGACATCTCAACACATCGACTGCACGAATGCTCACCTGTATGTAAATATACTTAAGTTTGCATATACCAGTGTCCGTGCCAACGCAGGACACTATCACTGGCTGCAAGGCTTTGCTTTTATTCTCTGTAAAGTGCTGTGAGAAAGGCGTGGGACTGGGTTCTGGGCAGAGCAGTCATTTGAGAGCTGCTCCGCCAAATGTGGTTAATGTACCTTTAAAATAACAAGCGAACTCAGTCCTTCCATCTCGCTAGTCCCAGTCCGAGGGCCCTGCTCACCACCCGGGCCAACGCCTGCAGTTGTACAGGAACGAGAGGCCCCATGCATCGCACTGGCGATATGAATCACGGTCCCGCGCAGGCTCCCGGACACACGCATTCTCCCGAGAAGGGAGGGCCCACGCCGCCCGCTCATTAGGGAAAGGTGTGCGCGCATGTGTGCGTGTCCTTCAGTCTCGCATTCACTCATTACCTCGCCCCCCGCTGCTTCCTTTAGTTCCCACCTCTAATTTTCACTCCGCAGTGGGCCTTCTCATCACCTCTCCCATGGTACTGGGCTTCTGGGTTCCCAGCAGTGAGGTCTATCCTCGGAGGCAGTCGCAGGACAGAGTTTGGGCCCCAGCAGCTCCCGACAGAGGGAGGTTTCAGATCTGGCTCGGTGTGACCTTGAGCAAGTCACTCTACGGTTCTAGGTCTGTCTCCCTGTCTGGAAACTGAGTTTAGGGAGGGAGACAATGAGCTCAGTTTGGGACAGGCTAAATTTGAGTGCATCTGGGGAGGAGAGGTGTCACACAGGCACAGGTCCGGAGGGAACCTGGTGTGGGTGACATGAGAAACCACAGGAGTGGATGAGAGAGGCCAAGGGGATGAGCACGGAGAAGGGGCCCGGGAAGCGGGGCATCCAGGGCAGATTCGAGGGCAGGAGCCACCTAAAGCAGCTGAGGGGACAGGGAAAGAAACGCCAGGATACACAGGGGAATCTTTTCCAAATTCCTCGCTTTAAGTGCAAAATAAAAAAATACTAATTAGCATTTACTGAGTATTTACGAGGTGGCAAAGTACTAAGTGCCTTTGGTGTGTTATTTTGGACACTTTCACTGTGGGGCAGTTAAGTAAATACAACACTGAAGATCTCGCGCAGTGCAGATAGAGGAAATCTCCACTCCTTTAGCCTCGATTCAGAGTAGGCGTCGTCTGCACCCTGAATCTGGTGCCTCTCTGAGCATGGCCATTCTCAGTACCTAACTTTTTATGCATTTGTTCTTTTCCCCCCCAATTTCACTTGTAAGTCCTTGGAGAACACGGGCTGATTCACACCAGGTGAGACTATGAAGCAGAAAACCTCGAACCCAAGCAACGAGAACCACATCGCTAAGCGACCACCGACGGGGCTCGTGGCCAGGGGTCCAGCACCCGGGCGCTGCTCCTGCTGCCACCACTCGGCTTAGAATCTCTGGAGAGTCGCCACCCGTTTATGACTCATACATACCACAGATCTCGCCTGCCCCGATTACCTACTTTGTCCCCTACACTTGTTCCAAAGAGATTGTCTTTTCCAAAAAGAAAAAGGAAACCTCCCCTAGGGAATGCTTTGCCACCAATGGCGAGATTCATGAGAACCTGGCAGAAGACTTAGAATGAGAGTCGCTTCCCAAGGGGACAGGCCCCGTATGAATGTGGAAATTCTGGTGACTTGCTCAAGAATCAAGTTCGGGACTCTGGGTCAGACCTCACTACAACCCAGTTACGTGCCAGGCTAGGCTACGTGTCACCTTTTTCTTGAAGAACATTCTGTCCTCATTATAATGTGGCCGTTGGGTGGAACGAACTAACTTTTAAATTCACGTGGGATTCATGGAGAGAGGAAAGCTCCAGAGAGGACAGGCGAGTCCCAGCGCTGGGAGGGCCCAGGGTGCCTGGGTGGGAGTCTCGGGCGGAGCGCTCATTCCACTCTGGGAGCAAACACAAATGAAGGCTGTCAGCTCCCATTAGCGTCTCTGATGAGCTTTCCTGAGCCATATGGACAGTGTGTGGTGATGAGAAATTAGGGGTACAGGGGGGTGAACTTTCCATGGAACAAGTCACCCGTGGAAATAACTTGTCTTTTGTCAAGTGCATCATTCAGTATGAGCTGCTGTGGAAAAGCGACTTCCTGAAGGCGACCTGTTAGCTTCATGGAAAAAGATTGTCAGTAGCTTGTGTGTCAAACTAACTCGAATTTTCCTTGTGGTCCTAGGAAGAGCAAGATGCCAAGCCTTGGGCTATTACGCTGTGCCACTGGGCGAATAAAAGAGAAAATCCATTTCCTCAGAAGACACATTTAATGAGGCAACTGGGGTCTAAGGCGATAAATCAGAAATTCAACTGAGGGCATCAGGCTTGGAGGAAAGCAGGAGTTTGATGGGAAATGCAGGGAGAGTGGCTTCCGCACAGTGTTCAGCCTCACGCAAGAGATCTGTGCTGCTGGTCACCTTACCTCTGACTTAGTGACTAACGTCACTCACGGGGAGCCCCCACATCTGTCTGGGGCACAGGAAACAAAAGGAAAAACAAACAAAGGCCACCGTGCGCCTACCTTGCCATCCTCGGTGTAGACGTTTTCGTTGTAACCCTTCACTATCGTCCGGTCGATGAACAGGCTCCTCATGACGACAATCACCTTCAACACCTTCCCCAAGGTCACCTGTCAACACACGGGTGCAGACATGAACACGCAAACCACGCCACGTCGGGCAAGACTATGAGAAGGCACATGGGCTCTCCCTCCTGTTTCTGAGGTACTGGGGACACCAAGGGAGGCCACCGAGGGAGGGCGTGGCCTGTCCCTTGCGCAAACATCCCAAAGCATTTGGGAACAAAGCCCCAACAGCACAAGTTCTTCCGTAATCACTTAAAGATGGTGCGGGCCCCAACGCATCCAACCAGCCCGAGTGTATTTATAATTCTGGCTTATGAACGGCCAGGATAAGTTCCACGTGTTTACTGCCTGCTGGATAAAGTAAGATTTCCTCCTACTTTCTCTGTCCTGAGACGATCGCCTTCGAAGGCTCTCTGCGCCTCCGGGACTTCGGGAGTTAGTGGGCACGGTTCCCACGCACCGTTGTGGCCTGTGCACGCCCGTGGATTACGCAGAGAACAGAGGTTAAAGGCAGGCACCACACACCCCTGGTGGGACTGTATCACGGCTGGTCAGCGTGGGCGAGCAATGCCAAATAAATTCGGACGGTAAATGGGGAGTAGCTGAATTTTATCTCCAAAAAGGAACAGAATCCTGGTAGTACATGTAAGTGTTTTTACTCTTTAAGAACTTCAAGGAAGTATATGGATTAAAAAAGAAAAACCTGAAAAAGTGCAGTTTCATAAATGCCAGGGAAAAAGTGCCTGCTGCTTGCTGGAGTAGCTTCAGCACTAGACTAGAAACGGCACCTCCTTTCTTTGGGGGCTCCTGTCACCCTTCCGATACTTCACCAAGCCTCTTCTTTTCATTTCCTAGATGAGGCCCTGGAGGGACACTTGGCCCAGGACCCAGTAGGGTCCGTGGTCTGGCTGTTCCAAGGAGGCTGACACCACAGAACTGGCTGAAAGGAGGTCTGGTCTGAGTAGGACAAGAGCCTCGGCCCCGGACAGTAGTCCCCGTCCTGCAATTCCACTGCGCAGTCCTTCCTGGGGGTGCCGCCCCACCCAGCCTCTCCTTACTCCCCCGCATTCCTGTGGATGTTCCACTGCTTGTCCTCAGCAAGAACCTTCCTCTTTCCTGAACTAGTCCCGGCATCAGTGAACATTCCCAATACCTAGTTCCTTCAATAACTTCTAGTTCTGAGTTGACGTCTCCATTTTTTTAATGCCTAAAATGGTCAGAAAAAGGTATACATTTAAGAGAAAGTTAAGAAAAACATCTCATTTTGTTAACTGTATAGTACTTGTATTTCTGTACAGTACTGCTAATTACTGTTACACCACGTAACATTTAAAGGCTCACTTCTACAACTGGAAACCGCTAGTTAAGGGAGCCAATAAACCGCAAAGGTAGGACAGCAACCATCTCCAGTTTATTGGCAGGGAGAGAGGGAAAGAGGGAGGGGAAGAAACTGAATTATAATTCTGTAACGATAAGCACCGAAATTAATAGCCTCTTAGTAGGTGACAGTGGCAGTCCAATGCCGGACCTCCTCTAAAAGGGCCACTGTTTCAACCGTACATTTTAACTCTTTCCTAATAAGCAAGGATAACTAAGCAGCTGTTTCCTTAAAAAACCCAAAGTCTAGCTGACTTTAATTAACTGATAAATGACCTTAGTGATTTCTCTAGTTTCTCCAGATGGAATTCAGGAAAAACACACATCACAGATAGTAGAAATTTTACATGTAACTTTTTTGTTATTAAGAGTAAATTGGTATTTCAGAGTTAATTCTGACAAAAGCATCCTTCCTCCCACGTTGCCCACACATCCCTTCGGTGGCCACACTGTAACTTCTCCAGCCGCTCTATTTGTTGGGCACGAGTTGCTTCCAAGTTTCCCCATAATATAAATAGGGCTGCAACACACACTTCTGTTCACAAAGCTTCCACTACATTTGGGATTCTTCTTTCTTTTTTTAAAAAAATGTTTTTATTGATTTTAGAGAGCGACGAAGGGAGAGGGAGAGAGAGAAGCATCAATAGGCCGCCTCCTGCACGCCCCCTACTGGGGCGCAAACCCGCAACCTAGGCATGTGCCCTAACTAGGAACTGAACTGGTGACTTCTTGGTTCACGGGCTGATGCTCAGCCACTGAACCACACCAGCCAGGCAGGACTGTGCTGGTTCTAAGGCTGTGATGACCGTGGAGTCTGGTAGACTGATAAGGCAATGCCTCACACGCCGGCCAATGGGCACCGTCTGCCAACTAGCCAACGCTGGCCGTGGTCACAGGCAAGACGCCCAGTGACGGGGCTACAGGTCGGCTCTTGGCGACTGCTCTGGGACACCACGAATAAAGCTAATGCCATCTGGTAATGAAGCAGGCTTGCTGTTGCCAAGGTAACCCTTCTTCTAGACTAAGAAGCACATTTCCAAAGAGTCACTCAACGCTCCTCCTGTGCCTGTTCCTGTGAGTGCTCAATGGCAAGTGGTGGAGAGTCAAGGGGGCCAGTGGGCTCCCTGCAGGGTATCAGCCTTCCAGGGAAGCGCCTCAGAGACGCTGTCCCTGCCTGGCTGCTGTCCAGGGAGAGCTGCGTGCTGGGTGGCTGGGCTGACATCTCTGGTCTTCTCTACCTGGTCTTGCTACAGCTGCCTGCAGGGCAGCCATCCAGTCAGAGAATTTCTAGTTCACTACAGCAAGGCAAGTCACACACAGGAAAGGCAAAGTGGGAGCGAAGTTGAGGATAATCGCGAAAATCTGTTCTGCCACCAAATGCTAACAGAGGCCAGGCAAATACGGTACTGGGACTGACACCGCTGGGCCGTAGGAGACACCGATCGCTGCGAGCTTGAGCAGTGTCTGTCTAGGCCATGGGGAAGGAAATGACCAAAGCTTAGCTGCATGAGGAACCCAGGACCAGATGTGCATGCCTGACCACACGAAGGCCACGAGCGGGAGCTGAAGGGGTAGCACAGTGTTTGTCACTCAGACAAAGGCTGCACGGCCGACCTGGGCCTTGGGGAGGGATGTGTTAAAAAACACATAGCCACCCACAAATGTTATTTTCCAGGTACAAACAAGGTAAAAGTCTAATATGTATCCTTAAGACATCTGTGGTACTTTATCATTATTTTTATTATTTTTTATTGATACTGACCTGAGGATATTTTTTCCATTGATTTTTAGAGATAGAATTTGTGTGTGGAGAGAGAAACATTGATGTCAGAGAGACACACTGATCGGCTGCCTCCCCCATGTGCCCCGACGGGGGGGGGGATCACGCCTGCAATGCAGGTACATGCCCTTGACCGGGAATCGAACCCATGACCCTTTGGTGCATAGGCCGACGCGCTGTTTTCAAGGTGCAGTTAGAAGGCAGGGGAGGAGGAGAGAAGACCGCGGAGCTACAGGACAGCACGAAGAACCCTCATCTTTGTACCAATCCTGAAGAAAGAGAAGGCACAGTGAGGGGCCCCAACAGCAGTTACTTATGAACAGGTAAGTGTGCGTGCCACGGGCACACTGGGCGCGGACACGGATTCAGAGAACAGTGTAACTCTAGAGCCCCAGAGAACTTAAAAATCATCTGTCCGCCTCTCCCATCTGTCAAGGGGTAAACTGAAGCCTCGCGAGCGTGAGCAGCATCCAACACAGCTCCTACTTTGGAGGTGATAAGTGACGCAGGACTGCAGGAACTGAGGGCAGCAAGCGCGCCCCCCGAGGAACCCCAGGGAGGTGCTGCATCATCACCGAGCCGTGTGCCACCATCAAACACACTTGGTTCAGCGCCTGTCCCAGTCATCACAGGCACTAAATGGTAGGGGTGGCCTGGCCAGTGTGGCTCAGTGGTTGAGCAATGACCCAGGAACCAAGAGGTCACCGGTTCGATTCCCAGTCAGGGCACATGCCCAGGCTGCGGGCTTGGTCCCCAGTAGGGGGCATGCAGGAGGCAGCCAAGAGATATTTCTCTCTCACCAATGTTTCTATCGAACCCTCTCCCTTCCCTTCTCTCTAAAAATCAATAAAAATATATATTTTTAAAAAGGCGGGGTCTCCCCACATGGGGTCCTATGGGACACTCCTCCCAGAGGTGTTCTTAGATGTGTCCTGGAAGCAACATTCTGTCCATCCAGGCTTTCCCTGACTCCCTGGGCTCCAGGACAAGGGCAGGGCGTACCTGTGAGGCCATAAACAGACGTCTAGGTGTCTGGCCTGAGCACCAGGTAGATGGTTTTGCTATTTACTGGCATGAGAGGGAAGAACGGGGGGGAGACACTTCCGTTTTATTAAGTTTAAGGTGCTGCAGAAATGCCTCCATGGAGAGATGCTAAATGGGCATACTGGAGACTGGGACTCACAGAGGAGGTCTTGGCGAGATGGTTCACGAGTATGAATGATTTTTCCCGAGGTGGCTTGTGTGAGTTCAGATGAGCTGAAACCCATCCTAAGCACACATCTGAGCAGCACGATCTGAGCTCTGGGGTGCTCAGGGGCAGGGGTGCTCTTCCCCCAAGAAGGCAGGAGGTAGACTCAAGTCCAGGTGAGGGTGGTGGCCACATAGCCCCGCCACCTGCTGCCTCCATGAGAAAGGCCCCCGGTGCCCTCTGTGGCAACTTGGCCTGTTACACCCCCACCCCTGCTGTCGATGCCGTTAGGCAGTGCTTGGCTTTTTACCATTTCCACTGTAGGATGTGTGCCAACTTGACCTTGATGTAAAAAAATTTAATTCAAATCGATACATAGACAAGGTCACTTTAAAATCCAATTAATATGAACAGGAAAATATGCCCCACAGTTCTGTGAGCTGAAAGGAACAGTCGCAGGTTAGCGACAACAGAGGAGACCTGCGCCAAGCCTGGCCAGGCCTTCCTGCTGGCGGACGCAGCTCGCAGCGCCCTAAATAAAGGCAGTAGTCAGGACTCCGGAAAGCTTATTTTGGCTTCTATTTAAGGGTAGCTTAAAATTAATCTATTTTGTTTGAAGAAATATACTGAAAACTGTGAATTCCTATAATCCGAGTTTAAATAAATTAAACCCTGGACTTCAACACACCCAGGAATCCC